GGGCCCAACTGAGTCGACTGGAGGTGAAACATTCAAAACACTGACCAGCTAAAGGGAAACAAAGACGTTTGTTCTATAAACAAGAAAAGCGGGAGCACGCTTTACCGCTGTAGAGTGTGATGTCGCGCTGTGTGATGGACTGCTTCGAGAGTGGGACACGCGCGTCAGAGTGAAACTGTGAAGCGATGCAGTCCAACCCGTGTACAGTCCGAACCAAATATTATTGTATATAGTGTCGTCATATTTACATCGCCACCACGATTCAAGGTTGAAGAAAAACAACATGTAAGTCCTTTGGAATTTCATAACGTATATAATAATGATTATATTTTGCACTTCATGACAAAATACTCACAGTTGATTTTCATTTGTAAAACTTGCCCTTTTGTATATATGTAGAAAATTTTATTGTCTTTCAGGTTCTTTTTAGTTCATATTCCGATGTTGCATAGAACGGAAAATATGCATTTTTTTCTGAAAGTTTGCAATGTTAAAGACTTAGGGCCATTTAAATTCCGGCCGTAGGGAGCTGCAGGCAATTTAAAAGTCCGTACGTTAAAGGTTAAACTGTGCTACTGATGCAAGCAGTCATACTGGAAAACAAGATAATGAGGGCCACAACAAGGTATACAAGAAAGTAACAACCTGACTCACAAAGTCATTACTATTCATAATTCAGAGGGTCACTGTTTGTTCTGGACAGAGGTGAGAAGTCAGCTTCACTCTCCTTTCACTTTACCAACCAGGAAAAGAGCCACTGCATAACTGCTGAGGGGCCCCAGAACCAGTCTGCATCCTGGACAATGGCAAGTGTACATTACAAACTGATTTATACTACCTGTATGAACTACAAGCTGGTCTATGGAGAACCTACACATAACACCTTCAGAAATTCCGCATGAGAAAAGCCTGCACATTTCACTAACCTTAATCATTTCCTCAGAGTTCAAAATTGGTGGGTTTTCTATACCAAAATCATGTGGAATGAGAGTGTAGAACCGGTTAGATGCATCCAGAAAGCGGCTGTTGGAGCCACCGGTCTTGACCAGTTCCTGTAGGTCCGTCAGCACACTGTAAGCTTGTTGGATCTGTTTCTTGCTCAACTTCCCCAAAGGCATCTTCTGCAGGTCCAACTGCAAACATAACAAACAAGTCATGTTCACTTTAATATGACACACAGATGTAGCGGTGATGAGTCCAAACATTCTTAAAAGGCAACCCCTCAACCAACTCTCTTTTGGTTTGCTGTTCAGTTCTTGTCACTGACAGCACAAGAATTCATTTAATGTGTGTCCCTCTGACTGTAGCATCTACTAATTAATGTCTGTACTAGTACGTAGCTTCCTGCACAATGACCCTCTAACAGCTCATAAAGCACAGCTTACAGCACTACCCTTCTAGAAACAGACAGGTGTTATCTTCAGAAAGATCAGTGTCATTTCCTAGCCTTTTGTCCTGGGTTAGAAGGGACAATCATAAAAGAGTTTGAAGAGCTGCTTGGTGTGGTTTTCAGCACTGATGTGTGCCACGACAACAGAAACTGGATGTCGGGATAACTAAAGAATTAGAACTGTTGTAGAAATGCTGCAACCTTAACCTCCTGTTGAGAGTATTGTATAGTTGCATCATGGATGTGGACACTGCGTTGGTTCCTGGCCAAGCAGAGCATAGGGAATGCGAATCCATGGGTCAGGCTATAAACAAATAACAGCAATTGAACTCTAGCACCTTCAGGAAAAGATCATCTAAGTGTGACATAGCTGGCCCCCCAAACTTGGAGCGCAATACTCAAGAAAGAAGGTGCAAACTGTGTATTTGCCATAGTATTAATACAAGCCAGCATACTGACATACTTTCTAAAATATTCCACTGTCTTTACGAATAAGACTCAGCGCACTCTCAGTATTGCTCCCCCACTGCTTGGGGTTGTGTATAAAGTCTTGTTTGTGGTTTATCTCCAATAGCTCTGTGGAGTACGAAAGTCCAAGAAACGTATGTCAACATCCTGTTTACTAGAAATAATGTTGGAGAAATACCAAGTTACTAACCACATACACTTTCAGGATCTTCAGCGCTTGAAAATATAAGCCACATCAGACCAGTCTTTATGCTTAACTAAAATACCTACTAACCCTCTTAATTATAATTACTTTGACAATGTTTTCAGTATGTTTCATGTAGACCCACTGCCAGGCAACAAGTGGAAAACAAGTTACTACAAAGATAAACTCTTGATAAACAGTCGGTTGCTAAGTTACTCAACAACAGAGGAGGCTGTGGTTTCTGTGTCATCCGTTCTGTGCAGCAGTGGAATCAGCTGGGTTATGCAGCCCACTGCCAGACAATGTCTCTGTTAACACGGTTCAACCTCAACAACAGAGAGGTTGTGTTTTCTGTGTGGTCCATGCCAAAGGCTTATGCGGTGAAATTCAATTCAGTCATAAGCTGGTGGAGTAAACTGAAACCAGGAGCTCAGAAGAGAACAAGAGGTTGGCCTGTGAAGATTCTGTGCATACAATAGAAGACTTTATGTGTGAGGTAGTACAGTGATATTGGGAGCGTGTGATTCAGTGAGACTTGTACAGTTCCCGTGTTATAAATATGTGAAGAGTACTGCACACAGACTGAAAAGATTAGCGTGCAGTGATTGTAAATTGTGTAAACCCGCAATAGTGTAATAATTAAGTGTAGTTATGACTGGTGCAGATCCAATAAACAAATTGATTCGAACCCCGTCTCTTAGTCACTGATATATGCGACAAATAGTACATACTTCCAACATAAAGTCTCTGTAATTACTGCCACAGATTATATGGCAGTAATCAATAAAATCCCTATAATATGATATGCAGCAGAAAGTTCATAAAACGGTGTGTGAGGGGGGGGGGAAGTGCAAGCACATACAAATAAGTCCTAGAAGTGGAACAGTTTCTGTTACACTACATCAAGAAACTGGTAATATGCACAATGTCTCCCTCTTTTGAGTGTTACAAACAGGAGGACAAGAAGGGTGATATTTCAATATGTAACACTGGAACGCATACCAACCTCAAACTCCAGCATAACTTGTTTCATTAAATTCACATCAAATATCAGCTGAATTAGCTGCTGTACAGGTGGTGCAAGTTTACACGAGCTGCTAGGATGCTCTGCATTCAGTGGCTTGTCATCATCCTCCTGCTGTAAACAATCATGAATAACTTTAAATGCACATAGATCGTTGTTACAGGCACTCCTTACTGAGCTGTCAAACTCGTATGTTTAAATACGACAGTGGCCCAACAGGCTAGCATCAACCCTTCTCAGATTATAGGAATTTTCACAACACACGTGTGCATGCACATTAGCACAAAACACACACATGCATTCATACTGTCCTGAAAAGGAGTGTTAGTTCTACTGGTTCAGGCAGGGCATTATCTCCTTTCCCCTCCAGTTACTTTTAGGGTTCCCAAGTCATAAAAAGATGACCTAATGGCAACTCTTGAGACAATGTCATGGAAAGCTTGCATGATACAAGACACAGATCGGACCAGCTGCAACAAGCCAGCACCTGATTCAATGACAGGAATTGTTCAGCTCCGACCTTTCACTTGTCAAAGAAAGTACCTTGGTGGAATAAAAAGTTTTGTGGGCTGGATGTATTGCTAGGAGAGTGGTTAGGTAGCAGTGTCACTTAACCACCAATTCCACTGGTGATCATCATCATCATCATCAGTAATCTGTCAAGACGACAGGTCCACAGTCTCTTTCAAAACAATTCCTCCACTTAATGCGATCTAGAGCTTTCTCCTTCACATGACAGTATCCTCTTCTGTCCCCATGGTCATCCAGCATCTTCTTACGTCTTCTTCCTCGTCTTCTTGTCACTTCTATCCGCCCATCTATCTTTCCTTCGATAGCTTCTTTTAGAAGGCAGTTTCTGCGTAAAACATGACCAATCCAATTAGCCTTCCGTTTTCTTATTTCATGTAGGATATTCCTCTGCTCACTGACTCTAATTAACACTTCTTCATTTCTCACATAATCGGTCCAACTGATCTTCTCCATTCTTCTCCAACACCACATTTCGAAACTTTCCAGATGTTTCTGATCTACTGCC